ATGGTTCGATTCATTTGGGGGTTTGAGAACTCTAGTGGGAGGAGATCTACTTCTGTTGGCACTTTGTATGTTACCCCCATGCCTGATTCCATTGCTGCTCCGTTCCCTCCATATTATAATTAGTGATGTCGCGAACACAAAATTTTCGGTTCGCGAACGGCGAACGCGAACTTCCACAAATGTTCGCAAACCGGCGAACCGGGCGAACCGCCATAGACTTCAATGGGCAGGCGAATTCTAAAACACACAGGGACTCTTTCTGGCCACAATAGTGATGGAAAAGTTGTTTCAATGGGACTAACACCTGGACTGTGGCATGCCGGAGGGGGATCCATGGCAAAACTCCCATGGAAAATTACACAGTTGATGCAGAGTCTGGTCTTAATCCATAAAGGGCAGTAATCACCTAACATTCCTAAATCACAATGGATATGGATTGATACCTGACATATGTCATATTGACACAGAGCAGAATAGGGACTGTTCCCCCTACATAGGGTCACTTGGCAGGTATGGATTGACACCTGTCCTCAGAGACCATGATACACACTGAGACAGACCAGAATAGAGACTGTTCTCCTACATAGGGTCACTTGGCAGATATGGATTGACACCTGTCCTCAGAGATCATGATACACACTGACACAGAGCAGAATAGAGACTGTTTCCCCTACATGGGGTCACTTGGCAGATATGGATTGACACCTGTCCTCAGAGACTATGATACACACTGGCACAGACCAGAATAGAGACTGTTTCCCCTACATAGGGTCACTTGGCAGATATGGATTGACACCTGTCCTCAGAGATCATGATACACACTGACACAGAGCAGAATAGAGACTGTTCCTCCTACATAGGGTCACTTGGCAGATATGGATTGACACCTGTCCTCAGAGCCTCTGATACACACTGACACAGAGCAGAATAGAGACTGTTCCTCCTACATAGGGTCACTTGGCAGATATGGATTGACACCTGTCCTCAGAGCCCCTGATACACACTGACACAGAGCAGAATAGAGACTGTTCCTCCTACATAGGGTCACTTGGCAGATATGGATTGACACCTGTCCTCAGAGCCCCTGATACACACTGACACAGAGCAGAATAGAGACTGTTTCTCCTACATAGGGTCACTTGGCAGATATGGATTGACACCTGTCCTCAGAGAACATGATACACACTGACACAGAGCAGAATAGAGACTGTTCCTCCTACATAGGGTCACTTGGCAGATATGGATTGACACCTGTCCTCAGAGAACATGATACACACTGACACAGAGCAGAATAGAGAATGTTCCCCTACATAGGGTCACTTGGCAGATATGGGTTGACACCTATCCTCAGAGACCATGATACACACTGACACAGAGCAGAATAGAGACTGTTCCTCCTACATAGGGTCACTTAGCAGATATGGATTGACACCTGTCCTCAGAGACCATGATACACACTGACACAGAGCAGAATAGAGACTGTTCTCCTACATAGGGTCACTTGGCAGATATGGATTGACACCTGTCCTCAGAGATCATGATACACACTGGCACAGAGCAGAATAGAGACTGTTCTCCTACATAGGGTCACTTGGCAGATATGGATTGACACCTGTCCTCAGAGACCATGATACACACTGACACAGAGCAGAATAGAGACTGTTCCCCCTACATAGAGTCACTTGGCAGATATGGATTGATACCTGTCCTCAGAGACCATGATACACACTGACACAGAGCAGAATAGAGACTGTTCCCCCTACATAGGGTCACTTGGCAGATATGGATTGACACCTGTCCTCAGAGACCATGATACACACTGACACAGAGCAGAATAGAGACTTTTCTCCTACATAGGGTCACTTGGCAGATATGGATTGACACCTGTCCTCAGAGCCCCTGATACACACTGACACAGAGCAGAATAGAGACTGTTCCTCCTACATAGGGTCACTTGGCAGATATGGATTGACACCCGTCCTCAGAGACCATGATACACACTGACACAGAGCAGAATAGAGACTGTTCCCTACCACTACATAGGGTCACTTGGCAGATATGGATTGACACCTGTCCTCAGAGACCATGATACACACTGACACAGAGCAGAATAGAGAATGTTCCCCCTACATAGGGTCACTTGGCAGATATGCATTGACATCTGTCCTCAGAGCCCCTGATACACACTGACACAAAGCAGAATAGAGACTGTTCCTCCTACATAGGGTCACTTGGCATATATGGATTGACACCTGTCCTCAGAGACCATGATACACACTGACACAGAGCAGAATAGAGACTGTTCTCCTACATAGGGTCACTTGGCAGATATGGATTGACACCTGACCTCAGAGCCACTGATACACACTGACACCGAGCAGAATAGAGACTGTTCCTCCTACATAGGGTCACTTGGCAGATATGGATTGACACCTGTCCTCAGAGACCATGATACACACTGACACAGAGCAGAATAGGGAATATTCACTAAATGCCAAACATTGATAATGATAAGGGGGGACCTACTGTCCTCCCCCCCGCCCCCACCCCTGCACGGTGGGTGGGGGCCATAAATCTCAATGGGGGGGACCTACTGTCCTCCCGCCCGCCCCACCCGTGAGCGGTGGGTGGGGGCCATAAAAATAATAAGGAGGGGGACCTACTGTATGATGTTGTATCGATCAGGTAGTGTAAGGGTTACGCCTGCTTCACAGTGACAGATCAAACTCCCCGTTTAACACACCGCAAACAACCGCAAACAGTCTATTTGCACAACCGCAAACTCCCCATTTTCCTTCCTTTTCCTCACTGATGTCATTGAAGGTCTCTTCCTCCACCCAGCCACGTACAACACCAAGGGTCCCCAAAAGGTGACATCAAGCCCCCTGGGACGCCTGCTGTGTTTGGTCTTCCACCTCCTCAAAGGCACCTTCCATCTCTGACTCCTCTTGCGTTATTATAAGGTGTGTTAAGTAGTATTATTCCTATCAGTTCAATCCCTGTTACGTCCCCTATCAGGGGACGTGTATATGGCATTGAATTTAGGAACCGGGAGATGGAAAAAGATGCTTGGTCGGTCCTCCTACTTCAAATTTGGGGCACTGCGCGTGCAATCTAATGTTCCACCAGATAGGAGTGGTGTGTTAAGTAGTACTATTCTTATCAGTTTAATCCCTGTTACGTCCCCTATCCGTTGATGTGGAGCAAGACACAGCAGCAGAAGAGGACTCAGCCGAGGAGGTTATGGAAGAGGATGGAGTAGGAGGAGTAGAGGAGGTGGCAGCAGGCCTGCCTGCAAGTCGTGGCGGTGTCACCAACTCCTCTGCAGAGCCACGCATTCCATGCTTGGCAGCCATCAGCAGGTTTACCCAATGCACAGGGGTGGCCTGCCTCTGCCTGTCATTTTTTTTTCAATTAGTGGTACTATGCGTGCAAGCTACTGTGACACCAGATATGAGTGGCACTGTGAACTGGCAGAGGTTGGCAGAGTACACGCTGTAGGCCTGACACACCCGCTTGAAGACAACTAACTGCTATTCAATCTATAACAGTGAAAAAAGTTTTTTGTTTTTAAATGCAAGCTATTGTGACACCAGATATGAGTGGCACTGTGAACTGGCAGAGGGTGGCAGAGTACACGCTGTAGGGCTGACACACCCGCTTTGAGACAACTAACTGCTATTCAATCTATAACAGTGAAAAAAGTTTTTTGTTTTTAAATGCAAGCTATTATGACACCAGATATGAGTGGCACTGTGCACTGGCAGAGTACACGCTGTTGGGCTGACACACCCGCTTTGAGACAACTAACTGCTATTCAATCTATAACAGTGAAAAAAGTTTTTTGTTTTTAAATCCAAGCTATTATGACACCAGATATGAGTGGCACTGTAAACTGGCAGAGTACCCGCTGTAGGGCTGACACACCTGCTTGAAGATAACTAACTGCTATTCAATCTATAACAGTGAAAAAAGTTTTTTGTTTTTAAATCCAAGTTATTGTGACACCAGATATAAGTGGTGGCACTGGTCACCGTATCCACTGTTAGCGTAACACACCCGCTTTAAGGACACTGACTGCTATTCAATCTATAACAGTGAAAAAAGTTTTTTGTTTTTAAATGCAAGCTATTGTGACACCAGTGAGTGAGTGGTGGCACTGGGCACGGTATCCACTGTGAGCCTGACACACCCGCTTTAAGGACACTGACTGCTATTCAATCTATAACAGTGAAAAAAGTTTTTTGTTTTTAATTGCAAACTATTATGACACCAGATATGAGTGGCACTGTGAACTGGCAGAGTACACGCTGTAGGGCTGACACACCCGCTTTGAGACAACTAACTGCCATTCAATCTATAACAGTGAAAAAAGTTTTTTGTTTTTAAATGCAAGCTATTATGACACCAGATATGAGTGGCACTGTGAACTGGCAGAGTACACGCTGTAGGGCTGACACACCCGCTTTGAGACAACTAACTGCTATTCAATCTATAACAGTGAAAAAAGTGTTTTGGTTTCTAAATGCACGCTATTGTGACACCAGATAAGAGTGGCACTGTGAACTATCAGAGTACACGCTGTAGGGCTGACACACCCGCTTTGAGACAACTAACTGCTATTCAATCTATAACAGTGAAAAAAGTTTTTAGTTTTTAAATGCAAGCTATTGTGACACCAGATATGAGTGGCACTGTGAACTGGCAGAGTACACGTTGTAGGCCTGACACACCCGCTTGAAGACAACTAACTGCTATTCAATCTATAACAGTGAAAAAAGTTTTTTGTTTTTAAATGCAAGCTATTGTGACACCAGATATGAGTGGCACTGTCAACTGGCAGAGTACACGCTGTAGGGCTGACACACCCGCTTTGAGACAACTAACTGCTATTCAATCTATAACAGTGAAAAAAGTTTTTTGTTTTTAAATGCAAGCTATTGTGACACCAGTGAGTGAGTGGTGGCACTGGGCACAGTATCCACTGTGAGCCTGACACACCCACTTTGAGACAACTAACTGCTATTCAATCTATAACAGTGAAAAACGTTTTTTGGTTTTAAATGCAAGCTATTGTGACACCAGTGAGTGAGTGGTGGCACTGGGCACAGTATCCACTGTGAGCCTGATACACCCGCTTTAAGGACACTGACTGCTATTCAATCTATAACAGTGAAAAAAGTTTTTTGTTTTTAAATGCAAGCTATTGTGACACTAGTGAGTGAGTGGTGGCACTGGGCACAGGATCCACTGTGAGCCTGACACACCCGCTTTGAGACAACTAACTGCTATTCTATCTATAACAGTGAAAAAAGTTTTTTGTTTTTAAATGCAAGCTATTGTGACACCAGTGAGTGAGTGGTGGCACTGGGCACAGTATCCACTGTGAGCCTGACACACCCGCTTTAAGGACACTGACTGCTATTCAATCTATAACAGTGAAAAAGTTTTTTGTTTTTAAATGCAAGCTATTGTGACACCAGTGAGTGAGTGGTGGCACTGGGCACAGTATCCTCTGTGAGCCTGACACAGAAGCTGGCAGACAACTAACTGCTATTCAATCTATTATAGTGAAGAAAAAAAAAAATTAAATCCAAGCTATTGTGACACCAGTGAGTAAGTGGTGGCACTGGGCACAGTATCCACTGTGAGCCTGACACAGAAGCTGGCAGACAATTAACTGCAATTACATTACACAGAAAAAAAAAAAGCAGACTGATGTTCTAGCCCTAAAAAGGGCTTTTTGGGGTGCTGTCCTTACAGCAGAGATCAGATGAGTCCTTCAGGACTGTAGTGGACACTGTATACCCTAACCTAGCTATGCATTTCCTTATCTAATCAACAGCAGCTACACTTTCCCTCCTCTCACTAAGCATGCAGCTTGAGAATGAATGTAAAATGGATGCTGTCCAGTAGGTGGGAGGGTCTGCTAGGAAGGGTGTGCTGCTAATTGGCTGGAATGTGTCTGCTGACTGTGAGGTACAGGGTCAAAGTTTACTCAACGACGACGAATAGGGGGCGGATCGAACCGTGCATATGTTCGCCCGCCGTGGCGAACGCGAACATGCTATGTTCGCCAGGAACTATTCGCCGGCGAACCATTTGGTGCATCACTAATTATAATCAATGCTACGATAGAAAGAAAAACAGCAGCTCATGTACTTGCCCTATGGAGGTATGCGCCCCTGAATCAAGAAGATACCATGTAATCCCACGTGCCCAGAACTCAGTATTAAGTATGCCTGGCCTTTTCAGTAATGATGCATAAAGGCCACCTGTATTCAGGTGTTGAAGCATGAAAGGGGGTAATGTAATAGAAGTTGCAGAATGTCTCAGAAAAACCTCAGGCCCTCACATTGTTAAAATTACTATGTAAACATCTAGAACCAGGGCGCATGTGTGGAATGCCAGGAACGCCTACCAGTTATCAAAATATGTAAGAGATAAGTGTTAACCTAATAATTGGATAATAATCTTTGTACTATGGGTGTGATTTTGTATTTTCTCTATACATATGGAATATGTCATTTATGGTATATATTCTTTGATCTCTTGTTGTTTGGTGCCCAGTGTATCATGTATTTCATAAAGCACTGGGACATTTGTAGCTGCAAAAAAATAAATGCTTTTGTACTTCCAACGACCTGTGTCTGGAGTGTCCCTGTATCATCTGAGACTGGAGAAGTTCCGCAACAAGACCATCCCCTGGCCATCTCTCCCACCAACCACCTATTTTCACCGCCTGAGCTAACGGAAAATTTGATGGCTTGGCCTTTCCTGGACCACAATAAAGAGACATCATAAGAGCCCAGGAGACTAAGCATCTTCTGGATCCCATAAATGGGCCATTATAAGAACCCAGAAGATTAGGTATTTCCTAGGCCCAATCATTACTCTTCACCCAACTGCCATTGTGATGGGATGGGGATCACATATCAGGCCTCTACTCAGTATTATCTTTTTTTTTTTTATAATTGTTAGAGAAACACAAACAACTCTGAATGTGTGAGCTGACTCACATGATATATTAAAGGTAGCAGTTAACTTGATTTTGCCTGTTTCCACAAAGCAGAGACAAATTATAAACTGATATTCAGTGGCTGCCATTAAAGCTTAGAAACATGGTTGGAAACCATTCAGTAACTTGTGGTTAACAGCTCACATTTTATTAGCAAATAACTTGTTGCTAATGGTGAACCTTTGTTGTAGAGAAACAGCCAGTGCTCACTAAGGTTAACAACTTCTTTACTGGCCCATAAATGTTGCCAACAACATTGGAAATGAGCCAGGTATCAGGTTGTGAGTGTAAATGCTATCAACTACTTCAGTATGAGTCTAAATACACATTTAACCCCTTAATTACGAGTGACGGACAAGGTCCGTCACTCAGGGGAAACACTTAACGATGAGTGACGGACCTTGTCAGTCACGCTGTAAAATTAACCCCAGATCGCGGCGATTGCGGGGTTAATGGTGCTCCGGTCTGCCTCTGTATTAGAGGCAGACCGGGAGCACCCGATCAGGCTGCCCCAGCACATGTGCTCGCTCTGACAGCCTGTCAGACTGAGCACATGTGCTCAGTATACTTACCTTCAGCCTCCCTGCACTTCCTGGTTCTGTGTGAAGTGCAGGGAGACGGATCATCACTGATCCTGCCACCTGTTAAAAAAAAAAAAAATTAAGTTTATTTAAAATCCCACCCCCCTTTACCCATTTTAATAAAACATTAACCCCTTCCCTGGCAATTGATCACTGACCACAGTGATCAATTGGCAGGGATTACATTTTACTATGATCTGATTTTCTTTTAACCCCTGAGGGTTAATTCTTTTTTTTTTTTTATTCTCAGGGGTTAAATTTATTTTATTAATTAATTTAAGTATTTTAAAATGATAAATTTAGCCAGCTGGGGTGGGTGGAAGTTAGTAGGGAATTGGGGGATTTGGTGTTAGGCTAACTAGGGGTTAACGTTAAAAAAAGTTTTAAAATAAGCTTTAAAAAGTTCAAAATTAAGTTAAAAAAAGTTTTAATAATGTTTACGTAAAAAAATAAAAAAAAAAACCCTTTAGCCAGTCCAAATAAAAATTAACCCATTCCCTGCCAGTCGATCACTGCCTACAATGATCAAAATACAGATCACAGTATTATACTGTGATCTGATTTTTTTTAACCCCTGATGATTAACTTTTATTTATTTTTTAACCCTCAGGGGTTCAATTTATTTAACTAATTTAAATATTTTATAATTATATATTTTGCTAGCTGGGGTGGAAGTTATGGGAAAATGGGGAATTTACTGTTAGTGCTGCTTACTGCTAGTTAGGGGTTAACGGTATAAAAAAAGCTTAGAAAAATGCTAAATCTGTAAAAAAAAATTTAAGAAAGTTTAGGAAACTTTAAAAAAAATTAATGAGCTAAACAAAAGTTTAAAAACTAGTTTTTAAAAGTAAAAAAAGTTTCAAAAAGTAAAAAAAATACATTTAAAAATGCTCATTACCACTACACCTGGAACAAACTAGAGAAAAAATGATCCCACGCCAAGGTTCAAAATATACCTTTTGAAATACCCTTGGGTGTCTACTTTAAGAAATGGTAGGCCTTTGTGGGGTACTTTGAATTTAAAACCTGCGAAGATGCTTGGAAATTGCACAAAGGCCCAGCGTCAAAATTCAAAGTTCGGTAAAAACTGATATGGCTTGGTCTCCTATATGGCACTGTAGCTTCACGAAATAGTCCAAAGACATTCATTGGGGGTGTCTTTTTACTCAGACGACTTAGCTGAGCATAATTTGGGGGGTTTGAACTTAGTGGCACATATGAAATATACAAAATGCCCAGCAAAAATGCAATCCGTATGCAAAAAATGCACAAAATTATTTTTTACCACATATTTTGGCATATATTGGTGAAAAAATGGGGGCATGTTAAGGCACAATATGCACCTTATGAGATACCCTGGAGTGTCTACCTTTACAAATGGTAGGCCTTTGTGGGGGTTTTTTGAACAGTCAAATTGTTATAATACCCCAAATGGAAGCAAAGGCTCATTAAATCCGTCTCTCAAAATTCTACTGTGAATACTGAAAAGGACAGGTATCCTGTATGGCACTGGAACTTCATGAAATAGTGCCAAAGACATGGGGGTGTCATTTTACTCAGCAAATGTAACTGAACACAAAATAAAACTTTTTACAGGAATAGCACACACCAACTTTACAAAATACACATGAGAATGTCTTTGTTATAAGTTTGTGTGCCAAAAAACAAACAAAACACAATTTTACTCCAATATTTAGCAGAGGTTGGCGGTGAAATGGCTACGTAGAAAGTGTCAAAACAACCTTAGGTAAATAGCCTGTGATGTCTACTTTATATAGACAGAAATTTTGTTTTCTTTTATGGCTATTAAGCTTACAAGACAAACATACCAAATTCTAAAATCGCTCAACATTAAAAGTTTATTTTACTCCTTGTGCTTTGTGACCTGTAACTACCAAAAAAAAATTAAAATCCCAGACACATTATATATTCTGTAAATCAGAACAACTAAATGAATTTATGTTTGATTACTTTCCTTAACCTGCACTAATTGTTCACACATTATTATTGCAAAAACTGTAAAAAAAACCTCAAAATTTTAATTTTTTTTGCCTTTTTCTGTATTTTTTTATAATAAATATGCATTTATACACATATATATATATATATATATATATATATATATATATATATATATATATATATATATATATATATATATATATATTACATCAAATGAAAGCCCTTTCTGTCCTTTAAAAAACGGTATATAATATGTGTCGGTGCAATAAATTAGTAAAATGCAAATTGCAAACAGCAAAAAATGCAAAAAATGCTGTTGTCATTAAGTGAAAGACAGTCTTCTGAAGCTCTGTCCTTAAGGGGTTAAGCAGCTTTCTGGCAGATAGTTAGGTGTTTATGGTGTATGCTGTATTTGAGCTGACGTGGTTACTAACATTACTAACAGCATTTATTTGCCTGCCATCCCCACTAGAGGAGTAATCGATGCATCACAGTTATGACAAGTAGGTGTCAGGTAGAGAAATCCAGTGTCCTGTGTCAACAGACGGTAAGGAGCAGTTTTGGTACAATCTCCCTTCACACAGGAATACTCTAGAGCAGTGGTTCCCAAACTAGTCCTTGTGGAACCCCTACCAGTCCAGGATTTAGGGATCACTCTGTAGTTTCCAAGGTGTTTTTTTTTTTTTTTACTAAAAACACCTTGGACACAACAGAGTGATCCCTAAATCCAGGTCTGGTAGGGGCTCCACGAGGACTGGGTTGGGAACCACTGCTCTAGAGGACCGCATAAGCCATTTTTATGTATTGGATTAATCCCATTCTTATTGTGTGTGTGTGTCTGCAGTGGCATACTAACAGAGGTGCGGGGGTGGAGGGCGGTCCCCCCCATTTGGCACAAGGTAGGGGGTGCCATCAGGGCTGGCCAAAGATGGGATTCTGGGAGCTGTGTTGGGGACAGGGCGCCATAGCAGCAGGGGCGCCAGACAGCCGACACAGCTCACACGCAGGGACCAACATGAGAACTGCAGGAGTACAGCATGGATATTTGGGGGCGGAGTCAGATTGACTGGGGGTGTGGAGCCAAATCAGATGTGGTAGCGGGGCTTAAGGCATCCTCCACTCACTGCTCTTACTGCAGCACAGTGAAGGGAAGCAGGAAGGAGTACCTGCTTCCCCAACAACTGCACACCAGAGACTTCACTGACTCCACTCCTCCTCCAGCCCATACTGTCAGTAAGTGAGAGTGTCTCTGTGTTTGTGTGTAACTGGGATTGTGTCTGTCTGCTTGTGACTGTATGTGTCTGTCTGCCTCTGACTGTCTGTCTCTGACTGTATGTGTCTGTCTACCTGTGACTGTGTGTGTGTGTGTGCACCTGTAACTGCATCTATGACTGTCTACCTGTGTCTGCTTGTGACTGTTTCTGTCTCTGACAGTCTGTGACTATGTGGGTGACTGTCTGCCTGTAAATGTGTCTGTGACTGTCTGCTTGTGACTGTCTGTGACTGTGTGTGTGTGTGACTGTCTGCCTGTGGCCGTTTCTGTGTATGTCTGCTTGTGACTGTGTGTGACTGTCTGCCTGTAACTGTGTGTGTGTGTGTGTGTGTGACTGACTGTCTGTGACTGTGTGTGTGTGTGACTGTCTGCCTGTGCCTGTATGTGACTGCCTGTGACTGTGTGTGTGACTGTCTACCTGTGACTGTGTATAACTGTCTGCCTGTAACTGTGTGTGTGACTGCCTGTGACTGTCTGCCTGTGACTGTGTGTGACTGTTTGCATGTCACTGAGTGTGTGACTGTGTGATGCTGCCTGTAACGTTGTTACAGGCATTGGCCTGTCAGATATCTGCTAGTGCAAACTAAGTGGTTATTGCAGGTGGTGAGGGGATATCCTTAATACTAAAATTCAAGTTCATAAGTGAACTTT